GCGCGCCTGGCGCTGCCCTGGGGAGCCACGTGCCGCCCGCGCCTCGCCGGGCCCATTAGGACCAACACAAGCAGCGCCGTCGGCTCCTGTGCTCGCTGCCGGTACCCGCTGCCCCTGCCTGCCCCTGCTCGCGCTGCCAGCACCGGTGCTCCCCACATCCCTGTGTTCATGTTGCACCGGTGCTCCCCACATCCCTGCGCTCACATTGCACCAGTGCTCCCCGCATCCCTGTGTTCATGTTGTGCTGGTGCTCCCCACATCCCTGCACTCACGTTGTGCTGGTGCTCTCCATACACCTGCACTCACATTGCACTGGTGCTCCCCACATCCCTGCGCTCAGGTTGCACCGGTGCTCCTCACTTCCCTGTGCTCATGTTGTCAGCATCGGTGGTTCCCACATCCGTGCACTCACATTGCATTGGTGCTCCCCACATCCTTGTGCTCACATTGCACCAGTGCTCCCCACACACTTGCGCTCCCATTGCACCGATGCTCTCCACATCCCTGCACTCACGTTACACTGGTCTTCTCCACATCCTTGCACTCACATTGCACCGGTGCTCCCCACTTCCCTGTGCTCATATTGCACCAGTGCACCCCACATCCCTGCGCTCACAGTGCATCAGTGCTCCCCCCTTCCCTGCGCTCACGTTGCCAGCATCAGTGCTCCCCGGTGGGTGCATCAGGCACCTCCCTGTCATTCCCTGCAGGATGCTCCCAAGCCCTTTGACTCCTTCTCTGCCTTTCCCCTTTTCCCCCTCCACAGCCACCAGCCTCCTGCTGCTCCCATCCATCCCGCGCTGCTCCGCAGCCCCAGCATGACTCGTGCTCCCAGCGGCGGGGCTGACAGCCATCCCGACGGCGTCGCGCGGCCTCGTGCCAGGAGGAGCTGGCGCCCACCCGCGCCGGCGGAGATGAGCACTGGGCATCGCCCTGCCGGGTGGAGGGGATCCAAGCGATGGATCCAGCACCTCCTGGGGAATTAATGCCCGGGAAGGACTGGAGTGGGGGGGTGAGGGGGCTGCCCCCCCCAGCACCAAATCCAGTCCTGCCAGTGCGAGCTTAGGGAAGGGCGAGTGACAGTGCCGCCTGCTTGCCCCGTGGCACTGAACTCTCTGCCAGCGCCAAGGGAGGGAGTAGCTGCCCTGCTGCCCACAGCACCACCGGCCCCTGTTGCTCCACGGCCGCCGCATCCTGCCCGGCCGCTGCAGCCCCTGGGCGCCTGTTGCAGCTGCGGGGTTGGTGGGGAGGGGACTGATGCCCCTTCCTGCATCCCTGATGCACCCAGCAGCAGAGGGGACAGAGGAGGGCCCTTCGCCCCCGGGCAGGTGTGAACAGACGTGACTGCAGGGCCATGCGGGGCGCACAGGGAGTGCAGCTGGGCTCGGGCGCCAGACTGTTGCACAGGGAATGTGGGGGCCACCAACGCAACCTCCTGTGGCTCCGGGATGGATGGGG